CCCCAAAACCCCAAAACCCCAAAACCCCTTTTGACCACAGATAGGCTGAAAATATTATTAATGTTAATGAGGTAGTCTGAGAATGTAAATGAATAGATGAGGTTAAGACAATACCTGGTCTTTCTTCCTTCCTTTCTTCTTCACCACTCTCCTCCTCTTTGATTTTGCAACTTTTGAAATTTGCATAATTCTATTTTTACCTATTTTTATTAATAAAATTCTGTCAAAATAAGTCTGAAAAAATGCTTACCTTCATTAGAAGTACTCATAGCATTTGAATTACTCGTGATGGTATAAGGAGTCGAGATCAAAGAAATAACCTCCTGCCCGACTCTCTTACCCCCAGCTTGGGAATCATGAACTAGCTGGAAGAGTTGAATCTTATCATCTACTTTGTTTGTTATTTTATTTCCCTCCTTCTTCTGTAAATTATCATCTTCTTCAGAGGAATATTCCTCATCATGGTTCTCTTTAATGATATCAATGTCCTCTTTGAAATATTTTCCAATAGGTTCAGAGATCTGCTGGGCTGGCTTTAGCCCTTTCTTGCTTTTCTTAATGAATGATTTGGTCAAGGTAGTTTTACTCTGAATCTCCCCACTAGGGTTATTTGAGGTATATCCTTCAGAGCTAAGGTCAATTATGCTATCAAACTCTTTCTTATTTAGGAGTGACCATTATATGAGTCTTTTCCTCATCTTTACTGTCTTGAAGTGAGACCTCTTTCTTGATAGGCTTCCGGTTTCTCCCTCTAGTACCTTTACGGTTCCTTACTCCACCAGGCTCAGGCTGGTCACTATGGTAGTGATGAAGGTAGAATACCTGGTCTGGTACATCTCTGTTTCCCCACTTTTGTAATAACTTGATGCATTATGACTTGTAATTCTGAGACTCCTAACATTAGCCTGGGAATCTAAGTTTTCTTTGTCAGAAGTATTCTTTAAAGTCCCTGATTTTTGTTTATTAAGCACTTGATTCTTGACCTTGAACTGGTCCATATCAAAATGTTTCTTCATTTCTTCATCTTCTGAGAAGTTTTAAACGAGGCTACTTACCTTTGCATTCATTGTATTTCGGAGCAAATTTCTCAAACATATTTGAGATTTGGTCTCCTAGAATTTATTAAGAAAGCATACCTTTGGAAGGTTGTTCATAAGTCATCTCATCAGGTGGTGCTGGGTCTGCCAACGATCCCATCATCCTTTGTGCCCTCATCTCATACTCTCTTGAAGAGAATTGCATTGGGACAAATGATTTTGAATTATGGAAGCTCACACCTAATGAAGAAGTTTTAACATTTGTAGATGATTTTTGATGGTTCTTTATGACTAAATAATAACACCTATTGCTAACCTGATCGAGATCCTACATCAAACAGAAAGGCTCCATAAGTCTGACTATTGTGTTGGTCTAGTTGTTCCTCTGGAGTTTTATTAAGTTCCAAACAAGGATGCTTAAGTTTATTTATACTTAGAAAGCTCTCTATTTCCATACTTCAACTGATTGGTGTCAACATAGAGATCGTCTTCATGCTTACTCTCTTCCATAATCTGACTGTGTGAGTAGCTGCCAAATAATAATCAAAATTTACCTTAACTGAGGTTGGACGATTTCTTCTTGCTCTACAAAATATTAACACCAAGCCTGCACTTTACCAAGCTGATCGATGATACCATTAGTCCCCGCCTGGATATTGTTTTGTTTATACCTATACCACATGCCTAGGATCCTTTTAGCTCGCCTGGACCGACAGAGAACTCTGAAGGAGAACAGAAGGACCACTAAGGCACATAGGCCCAGTATACTAAAAGAGACTATAAAATATATCTTATAGCACTCGAATTGTCCTTCACATGTCGACCCCTTGCAGCAGTATCTTCAACTAGTTGCTCAGCCTGGATTGCTAGACTAAATATTATGATTCATAAAGGATTTTGAGAGTTTTTCAAGTCAGTAAAGGCTCTAGACTTACCATTTTTAAGGAATATTATATTTAAACTCAATTTTTGAAAATTAGAAGGGGTTTTGGGGTTTTGGGGTTTTGGGGTTTTGGGG